ACAGAAAACTGGCTGTCAAGGACCTCTCCAAAGTGCTAATGAGCAACGATGTCAACTTTAAGACTAAGGTACACCTGATATAAGAGAGGGTCTTCTCAATTACTTGCTATGCATCAGAAAATTGGGAAAATGAATAAGGATGACAAAAGAAGAAATGATCCCTTTGAGTTGTGGTGTTGGAGAAGACTATGTAATATCCCATGAACCGTCAAAAGAAAAAAAAAACTAAGTCTTGGACAAAGTGCAAAAAACTAAGTCTTGGACAAAGTGCAACCAGGGTGTTCCTTATAGGCAAGGATGGTGAAACTTCATCTCATGTATTTTTGGCATGCTGTTAGGAGGGGCCAATTCTTGATATCATGTTTGTAAGAGTGAAGGATCAGAAAAACAAAGGAAGATGGACTGACATCTACCAACAAGATGGACTTAGATAGTTAACTATGACAATGGACTGAAGTATATCACAGATGATAAGGATGGCACAGGAAAAGGCAGAGTTCATTCAGATCCATTGTTCACAGGATTACTATAAATTATAGTCAACTCTACAGCACATAAAAAGATATACGACTGTTTTTTGAAAAAAGCTCAATGGGATCTTAAAAATTAAGTCCATCCTTATACTGGGGAAAAAGCACAAAATAACCAACCAAACAAACAAAAAAAAGTCTCCAGAACACCAAACCAAGAAATCAATGTGACAACTTTTATAGTTAGCATATGAGCAACAAAATTCAATTTGGACTTTTGTATGTGGGCTTTGAAAACAGCTCCTGCAATTTGCCAAACATCAAGATGACATTAAAAAAAAACAGGCAACACTTAAACAAGTACAATGAGTTGAGAGTTCCCAACTCATAATCTTGGCAACAATCCCCACGAAAGGAAGCAGCTGGAAAAGCCTCAGAACAAAGCACCTGACACTTGTTAGCAAGGTGAAAGAAATAGCTTTCCTAGTTGGTGCCAGCGTGTCTGACAGTCTATCACCCTGGGTAACCAGGAGGCACATGGCGTGTCACGTAGGGTTTAGGGTATAAAAATACCTGGTCAAGGGATTTTTTTTCTACACTTTGGCTATGGTGCCAGGTGGAGTACTTGTAGTAAAGAAGTTCGCTGGCCCTCAACCTAACCTTCCTGGGCTAAGGAGGGGGATCAGCAGATAGTTAGAGCCCCTTTCTCAAGTTTCTCGGCTACATTACATACTGGGGTACAGAATAGTCATCATCTACATCCTCACAGTTTTCTCTGAGTCACATGAATAGCTTTTAAAAACAGATCAAAATTCATCATGTAGTATGCTGTTCCTTCTTGTAAGTAATAAAAGCTACTGCCCATGTGCTAATGCCCCATCAGATGTGTTCAGGCTCTGAGAAGAAGGAGTATAATATTTCAGAGGAATCAGCATTAGTGACTGAAGCCTGTTACCTAAATGGCCTTCTGGCAATTTAGATACTGGGGACAATCAGCATTTCACAAGATGAAAGTGAAATTCTAAGTAGACTCAAAGCAAAGCAAACAATGCAAGGCAGTATCTAAAATGTTGTTAAATAGACACCAATCACTACTCAGTACACTTCACTATGTGCTTAAGAAATTTTTCAAATTGCTTACCTAAACCTTCCCTAATTATTAGAAGGGGGAGCACTGAGGAACTGGAGCATCTTTCAATTTTTGTTTAATTAATAATTAAGAACTGAGAAGGAACTACATTCAAAATAATGTTAGACATTCACAATTTTGACAAAAGAACAATACCTGTCTTTCTAAAATAAATAATGGCTCTCCAAGTAACTCCAGGCTGACTAAAACTCCATCTATAAGTACCACTTGAGTACCAAGAGCCAGATGAGAGAATAACAAGATCTGTAAATGTATTTATTCAAAATTACTCTCCAAGAAAATATTTTTAAAAATTTATTTTCATTTAAAAAACAAAAGTAATTATTTGGCAAGCTACAGTAACAAACACTATTTCAGTTTCTAGTATCATTTTATCACTTATTTTACATTTATACTACTTTTAAGAGAATTCCAGTGGCACGGTGGATAAAGAGTTGCACTGCCAACCCAAGAAACATGGTTCAAGTCAACCAGCTGTTTCTCAGTAGAAATACAGGCAGTCTCCACCCATGTGATTTACAGCTTCTGAAAAACCACTGGGTCAGCTATGAGTCACTTTCGACTCAGTGGCACATAACAATAACATTCAATTTTTTAAAAACATTTTATTTATTGATTTCTGTTTATAAAGATAAATAACTCAAAGTAGTATTTATGCATCTGGCAAGAAAGCAACAGAAAACAAGATTTCTTTAATAAAAGGGAGAAGTGTCCTTTTAGTGTATAGGACAACTAAAAGACTCCTTATCAGGCTAAAGTCCCTATCCTTTAAAGACAATTTTGAGGAAGCTTTCCCTATCAACTTTAGATTCTTTAATCATTGTAGTATGCCTCTCCACCCCGCAAATTAATCCACAGCTGGGAGCTGTTACTCCCTTCATTAACATAATAATGGAACATTCTGACCTTGAATCAAAGACAACCTTTTTATCAGGAAATCAGCACCCAGGTGATGTTATGAGGCAGTTCACAGACTCATAGCAACCCTATGTACCACAGCTCTGAAATCTGCCTTGTCCTGAGGCAGTCTCACTGACTCCAACACACCTACCCCCCATTGCCCTAGTTACTGTATCAATCTCTCATGGGGGTCTTCCTCTCCTGCACTGTCCCTCCACCCTTCCAAGTATGGTGTCTTTCTCCAAGGATCAGTCAGTCCCTCCTGGCCATGTGCCCAAAGTATGTGAAACAGCTTCAAAATCCTAGCATCTAAGGAGAAACTTGGTTTCACCCTCTCCAAGACAAACCTATTTGTTTTCTTGGTGGTCTACAGTATGTTTCAGGCTCTTCTCCAGCATCACAACTCAAAAGCATCAACTCTTTGCTATCTTTATTCACTGTCCAGCTCTCTGATGAATATTATGTAACTGCAAAAACTATGGCTTGAATCAGGCACACCTTTGTCTCCAGACTGATATTGTTGTTTCTCAGTTCTCTGGAGAGGTCCCTGACAGATTTATCTAACGCAATTCATCTTTTGATTTCCTGACTGCTGGTACCAAAAGTGTTGATTGGGGAGCTAAGCATTGAAAAAATGGAAATTAGAAAACACTTAATTGAGTTAATGAGAAATCTGATGGGGTGGTAGTGATAAATTCAGAATTCTCTATGTATGTATGTATCAGTTATGGAACTATAGTTATACAGTTATAAAGCTGGTATCCGTGTTAGCTCCCCCCCCCCAACCTTGAAGTCATGGTCTCCTGCTATCTTAACCGCAGACACATGGTCCTGCAAATCATCAACAGCTGTGAGGCCAATATAAGAGAACAATTTCCATACTATGGGAGAAGGTGGTGAAGACATTGTGGCACTTCTGTGAAGAGACTGTGGGAAGGTGTATAACCAGAGGAATGATGGAGCTGAAGACCACAGTTAAAAACTTTTGCTTGCTGGATGACTAAAGGAAAAGCTGACTTGTAACTGATCTGAGATAAAGTTCACTGAGTAACTGAGGAAACCAGAGGTTTCTTGCATTTGTGCTGAATATGGACTTGTATGAGTGATATTCTGTTCTTCCCCAACTCCCCAACCTATTATTTCCTTAATAAACCCCACAATTACGATTAAAGTCAACAATGAATACTGAACCCAATGGTAGAAATAGGTGCAGGAGCTTGTGGGGTGGCATGTCTATGCACCTATCTGTACAGTGCCATGAATATTAATGGAGATAGTTCCCCTTTATGAAGTGGGCAGTTGTCAGACTGGGCCACCTTTATGTTGCAGCTGCTCTTACACTTGGTCTCATATACTTTAGGGATGTTATTCTAAGAAAGATGGAGTGTCAGTGTAAGAGACAAAGAGCATCAACAAAATGGACTGACATAGCAACAGAAAGGATGGCACAGGATAGCACAGGGTTCAGATCTACTGTTCACAGTTGTTTTGAGTTGCAGTCAATTCAATGGTGCCTGACAGCAACAACCCTCCTTACTTTATGTTTGGGTTTCTCTCTTCACATGTTGTTCGTGGGTATAGAAGTTCTTCGTCCACCCATTTTCAATCAGTTTAGGTCTCTATGCCCCAGCAGCAAATCCCAGGTGGATACAAATCGTGAAAGAGAGCCGCGTGAGGGGCTCTGCGACGTTTGTTTCCAGCCCAAACCCGTGAGATGAGTCCTTTTCGGTTGTGCACCTTGCCTGACTTGACGTCCTCTCCGCAAGCCCGTTTATCCTCACTTTTTAACATTCAATTTTTGAGAGATTATAATTGAACCAATATTCAATTACTTCCTTACTAATATATAAAATTTAAAAAGTACTAATATTATGTTTTTACTTCCCAAAAGAAAATTTCTACTTGTATATGCAAAAACATTTCTCCTCACTCAGTCCTTACATAATTAGTATCTATAGGACCAGCACAGACCAAATACTTAAAATTAAAATCTCAAACACAGGCATCTTACACCTAGGAGATTCAACATAATACTTGCAGGTAACACTGCAACTGTCATACGGATAAAAGTTACCACTTTCCTTATACAATTTGAGAATCAAAATATCTCCAAGTTATGTGACAAGACTCCAGATACTAATTTGTTTCCCTTTTCTCAACATACATCGAGTTTTCATATTAATGTACAAAGTTGTATTTGAAAAAATTAATAAATGCCTTTTGTACATTTGAAGGTAAGAAATCGATTGCAAGTACAATTAATCAACTTGAAATATTTCAAATGAAACATTTCACATTACATACAGAGCAATAGTATGTTAGACAATTAGGGCCATAAAGATTTCCTATGAGTCAAAAATGTTTTGGGGTAAAAAAGTTATAAATAAATTTAGAGTTTTATTAGAAATATTATAAATTTTATCACTCAAATTGTAACAGACTAAGAAATATAAGAAAAATATTTATAAAGAAAGTCTTACCTTCATCCACAGAAAACTGGCAGCTCTTATCATTGAAAAAAAGAATTTTCTTCTTATCAGGTCGATTTACAAATAGAATCTGGTCCCCTAAAGCCTTAAAGATAAAAGAGGTTTTTTTGTATTTTTTTTTCCAGTTAACCAAAATTACTTCACAAAACAAAAAGCCCAAACCAAAAACACACCATTAAATTTTCAGGTTTTGCTTGTTAACTAAGAGACCTCCATTTCTTCTAGCCTTCAGGATACCATTAGAGCTTACTGGGCTCAAGTTTAGTTACTGAGTTTCTTTCTCAACAAGTCCTATTTTTAAGGGCAGGTATTTTGACTTTTGTTTTCAGATGTATACAAACAACAAGAAAATAAAAATTCATACTCTCTTTTTATAATCTAAAATACACTGTGGGATCTCAGTGAACTTATTTTTCATGTATCTTTAAATTATTTCGCTACTTATCCTTATAATATTCTAATTATGTTTTTAAACCTAAATTAGTAAAATGAAATAATAACTCATACTGAATCATAATTCAGTAATAGAAAAATATCCACTCTCCAGTTTTGTTATTACTTTGCCCTAAGTACTGCATCATCTCTGAAGAAGCTTTTAGAGATATTTTTATTTTGTTGTTGTTGTTATGTGCCATCGAGTCGTTTCGGACTCATAGCGACCCTATGCACAACAGCCCTAAACCCTGCTCTATCCTGCGCCAACCGCACCGCCTCTGACACACCCATCCCGATTACCCCAGTCACCGAATCAATCCATCTCATAGAGGGTCTTCCCCTCCTGCGCTGTCCCTCCACCCTCCCAAGCATGATGTCCCTCTCCAAGGACCCGTCCCTCCTGGCAACATGTCCAAAGTATGTCAGACGAAGCCCCAGAATCCTTGCCTCCAAGGAGCAGCTTGGTTTAATCCTCTCCAAGATGAATCTGCTTGTTTTCCTGGCAGTCCATGGTACATTCAGTACCCTTCTCCAGCACCACAGCTCAAAAGCATCCACTCTCCTTCTGTCCTCCCTAGTCATTGTCCAACTCTCTGATGCATAACAAGCGATTGCAAAGACCATGGCCTGTATCAGGCGCACCTTAGTCTCCAGAGAGACACTGTTGCTCCTGAGTACTTTAGAGAGGTCCCTAACAGCGGACTTTCCCATCGCAATACGCTTTTTGATTTCCTGACTGCTGGTGCCAAGAGTGTTGACTGTGGAGCCGAGCAAACATGCAAGCAAGATATTTTTATAGTCTTTTAATTTTTAGTTCTGAGTTGAAAACTCAGAATCTTATTTTCTATCCTTTATAGCAAAGAGAAGAAAAATTACAGGAACTATTTCACCTTGACAAATCAGAGGATGAATACAAGAAGCAACACTAAACTAATCTAGTCTAGAGTAGAAGTACTCTAGACTAATAATGATGGCGAAACTGATCATTGAACTATGACCTCAAAGATTCGTTATCTTAAGATGAAAAATCAACAGTGAATTATTTTTTTTAAAAAATAGTATTGATAACACAAAGAGAGTCCATTAGCCCCATTGTGATGGCTGGATATAGACACAAAAAAGAGGGAAAAATCCTAAAAAATTATCTCATTTAAGAAATGACTTTAAACATAAATGTTATCATATTATAAATATTTGTTGATGTTATTCATGGAGGTCAGAACCTACCCATAACTGATCCTCTCCAGTGGATTTTCAGAGACAGTAAATCCCACAGACAGAGACTGTCCAGGAATAACAGGAACATTCCAGGAGTTCATGTCGTTACTGGAAGTCCTCTAAAACAAGTTACTGTGGGATAAGCTGTCTGAAATAGTCACTGATTTGCCTTGTTCTCTTGGTTTACTTTTGCAAAAGTCGCTTTGTTCCTTGCTAGTACTATACTGTATACTCCTGCAAAGCAAACTATTACCAAGAAAATGGCAGTGATAATTATATTCTACCTCGAGCAAGAATTAAGCAAGAGAACTTTCTATGTCTTGAGAAATTAGTTAAGGTAAACATCTTCACATCTTATAAAACACAAATATAAAATCTTAGGTTTTTAGAAAGAATTCTGGCTGAAAATAGACAACAAATTGTTTTATGACTCATGAAGTTTTAATTCTATGGGAAGAGAGCCACTAAGGACAGGCAGTCAAAGAGACTTTACACTGTAAAATTACTAAATTAGAATAAGCAATTATCAGATTATAGACTGTTGTTGTTGTTCTTATGCACCATCGAGTCACCTGTGACTCACAGCAACCCTATGTACAAGAGCCCTAAACCCTGCTATATCCTGTGCCAACTTCACTGTCTGCAACACACTCACCCTGATTACTGATTAACGTTTTTTGGATAATTTTCAGCAGAATCTTGCTTGCATGTGATATTAATGATATTGTTTGATAATTTGATAATATAGATCTTTTCCAGCCAGTTGGCCAGCTGGCCATCCTCCAGATTTCTTGGCACAACTTAGTGAGCACATCCAGGACAGCGTCTGTTTGTTGAAATATGTCAAGTGGTATGCTGTCAACTCCTGGAGCCTTATTTTTTTGCCAATTCTTTCAGAGCAACTTGAACTTCCTCCTTCATCACCACAGGCTCTTGCTCATATGTCATTTACTTAAATTCTTCTATGTCAGCCAATTCCTTCTGAGACAGTGACTGTGTACTCCTTCCAACCTCTTTTAATGCTTCCTGGATCATTTAACATTCTACCCAAAGTATCCTTAAGTATTGCCTCCTGTGGGTTGAATATATTTTTCAACTCCTTCAGCTTAAGAAATGCTGAGCGAGTTCGGCCCTTTTGATTTTCTGACTCCAGCTCTCTGCACATTTCATTGTAGTATCTTACTTTGTCCCAAGCTGCCTTTTTAAATTTTCTGTTCAGCTCTTTGATTTCTTCCTTTAGCTTTGGCTTCTCAGCGCTCAAATGAAATATTGAGAGTCTTATCTGACATCCATCTTGGTATTCTTCTTCTTCAGCCTTTGTAATGATTTCTTGCATTCTTCACGAACGATTTTCTTGACATCCTCCCAGAGCTCATTTGGTCTACACTCATTGATGTTCAAGCCCTCAAACCTGTTCCTGAGATGGGTTTGAAATTCGAGTGGGACAGACTTAAGGTCAAATCTTGGTTCCCGTGGACTTGATTTAATTTTCCTCAACTTCAGCTTAAACTTGCATATGAGTAGTTGGTGGTCTGTCTCACAATCAGCAACTGGCCTGGTTTTCTACAGTGAAGCTTTCAATATGGATTGTTTCTTAACGTCAAGAAAACAAAAAATTCTTATGATTAAAACAGTGAAATTTTCAATAACTTCATTTTACTTCGATCCACAATGAATATACTTGGTATCAGCAGTCAGAAAATCAGGAGACACAATGCACTGAGAAAAGTCTGTAGTCAGGGACCTCTCCAAATTACTGAGGAGCAATGATTAAGGTGTGCCTGATTCAGACCATGGTCTCTTTTCAATCACCTGTTATGCATCTGAGAGCTGGACAATGAATAAGGATGACAGTAGATGACAGAAGAAAAATTGATGTCTTTGAACTATGGTGCTAGAGCTGCTGTTGTTGCTGTTAGGTGCCATCAGGTCAAGTATGACTAATAGCAACTCTATGAACAACACATCTGAACCCTGTCCTGTCCTGTGCTATCTTCACAACTGCTGATACACTAGAGCCCACTGTGGCAGTCACCATGTCAATTCACCTCGTCAAGGATCTTCCTCTCCTTCATCAACCCTCCACCCTTCCAAGTATCATGTCCTTCTCCAAAGAATAGCCTCTCCTAGCAATATGCCCAAAGTATGCCATCCATGGTGCTGGAGTATAGTACTAAATACCCCACTGACTTGTCTTGGAAAGATGTCTTGTCTTGGAAAAGGTGAAGCCAGATTGCTCCTTGGAAATAAGGATACTATGCTAAGAAAGGTGGAAGGCTGGAAGTCAAGAGGAAGGTGTCAGGTGGTGACACGGTGACTGCAGCAATGGGCTGAAGTATGTCAGAGACTGTGAGGTTGGCACGAGATAGTGCAGGGTTCAGATGTATTGTTCACAGCATCAACACACAACATACATACTTTGGTGTTAGCTTAAAGTTGGCTTTTTTAGCCATTATGAGAGCCCCCTCTAGTATCCAGCTACCTTAACTGAAGACACATGGTCTTGCAAATCATCAAGAGCTGTGGGAGGAGAGAGAGCGCGCAAGAGCATGTAAGCGCTTCCCACATTGAGCAGTCTTCTTCTTGAGGGAAACTGGAGCAAGACCCTGGTGGTGAGGCCCTGGGGATTGAGAAATTATGACACTGCTGTGGAGAAACTGGCAAGACGTGAGGAAAGGAGCCCTGAAAGAAGGTCACAGTTAAAGGTTTTGCTATTCTTGCCAGATTATGTGTTGACTTGGAAGGAAAAGCTGGCTACTAAACTGAAATGGAATTTTGGATTAATGGAGGAATTTGGACTGCTGGGCTAAAACCTAGACTTGCACTGGGTGATACTCTTTGCCTATCCCACTTTCTAACCTATTTCCCTAATAAAGCCCACTCTTCGTACCACAACTGAGAGTAAAGTCTGAGTCAAAAACAAACTGCTGTTGGTGTGGCTCTAGAGGCACCATGGGGTTGAGCTATGTATGGGCTTTTTATCTGCTCTCTGCTCTGGGGCAGGGAGGGGCTGTACTATTCTCACTTGTTCTGGTCCTTCCAGAAAAGATGTTCATGTCCATCCTTCTTCTGTGGATTTCAACTGGTAGAGAGGCAAAGCCTTTGGGCTAACAGTACAGCTCCCCAAGGACTACATCACTAGACCTTCCTCACATGAATAATTAATAGCAATTGCCAGAAAGGGGAATTCATGTATGACATAGGCTCAGCAAGAATGAATGAAACAGTCATTGAGATGACGGAAATAATAACTGCAACAACAGGCTAAAAATATACCAACAATCATGAGGCTGGATAAGGAGCGGCAATGTTTTTGTACTACTGAACATAATGTCACTATGAGTGGAAAACAATTCAACTGAAGGGACAGCATAAACCCCATTTTTTTTTTAAAAAAAACCCCATTTATACCAGAAGCAGAAGCAGACCATA